AAAATGAAATATCTGCAGATCCTGATACTTTTCTGATATTAGAGCCGTTTCTTTGTTGTCGTCAACATTATTCTTGATTTTTTAACAGTATGTTTTAAACTCTTTTGTACAAAAAATGTATTATATGGGGACAACAGTAGTGCCCTGCAACAGAAGGGTTGTCGGTTCAAGCCCCGACTTCAGCTTTCAGTGTCATTGTGTCCTTGGGCAAGACATTTCACCATCATTGCCTACTGATGGTAACCTGACTCCGCCAAATGGATTTGCTCCGCATTTACATCTGGAAACCTTCCGTTGAAGTAATTTTGGGAAGGGGCGAAAATACTGGTTAGCTGATTGGCCTATGTTGGTGATAGACGGGCCAAATAAACCAATCAGATCAACGAAGCATATGACGTACTAACAGAGCGACGACGAAAACACAACCACAAGCCAGGCTACTCTTGCAGGTAAAGGCTCGTTAGCTCAGCAAAGCCTCCAGAGCAGTGTTTTGCTCTTCTTTCAGTGAAGAAATACTCTGTAATTCCGATAAAACTTGCTCGATAGCCACGCTAATGCTAGTTTTATCGGCTGAAGCCGCCGTGTTCTTTAGACTGAACTGTCGCGCTTCTCATTGCGTCACACCTCAACCCGCCTCAAAGCCAACGCTGATTGGACGTTCGTTTGGTGAACGGCTCCAAATTTTCTTTAACGGAGAGTCTCCAGACTGATCTGCGAGTGAAACCTTGCAAGCTCGGGAGATCAGGATGGTCTCATGAGGCTATACTGATGGTAGGCAATGATGGTGAAAATAATCGCAACTTACATTTTTGGAAAAACTGTTAGATAAAAAGTCCAAATATAAAAAATGAACGAGAGATTAATATCACATCAGAAGACTCTTATAGAGGAGTATACATACACTGAAGTTTTTGTCATCTGCAGTGACCTTTAGACCCTGTTGCAGTTCTATAAATATGTAAAACAAACAAAATCAAGCGAACCAAAAGCCCCAACTGTTTCTGGCACTTTATTGAGTCAAATTAACGGACAAGGTCTTTCATAGTAAATCATTTAAAGAGGTAGAGAAGTGAGGCCATGTGAGATTACTGAGGAACTCTCCCTACCCACTGCACGTGCTCTGCAGCCAGTAACTGCTATCTAACGAGGCGATGACATGGCTCAGTCACAGGCTGCAATCTATGATACGTTTAATGTTTAGTCTTAAAAGGTTTGATTCTGTAAATCAGCACAAGTCACACGGCCCTATCAGACGGAGAAGCTGCAACTCTAAATGCACGTGAATGAAAGAACACAGAAGGCACCTCTAAGCCTGATGAGATTTGTCTGATATAAAGGAAGTAAATTTGTTTTATGATTTTAAAAACTCAATTTAACACAGAAGCTGCTCCAAAGCCTGTATATCTGCACAATCCTTCCTATGATACCTCCCAAAGCAAACAATGTCAACTAATGAGTAGTGAGAGCACATTTCCCACTGACCTACCAGCTGACAAGCTGATATTATAAACCTCAACCCTATGGCTATAAACAAAACAAAAAAAACTGTTCATAGAGGTTCCACAAAACAAGACAGAGAGCTCTGTGTTAGTCATATTAAAATTAATCATCATTTTTTAACGTTCAAACTCTCAGCCATGTGTCGACAGTCAGTTGTATGAAGATCTCAACATTCAGATTGTTTTAATAAACAGTACAGTTAAAAAGTATTCACACCCCTTAAAGAATTTGTCCATTTACAGCCAGGAACTTCAATGTTTTCCTTTTGGGTTTTCTGTGTAAGTGTGTGGGTAGAGGTGGGGAAAAAATTATTTTTCTCTTTTTGTTTTACAAATAAAAATCTGAAACATGTGGCTTGGATTTGTACCCCCCCCCCCCCAAAACCATCCATCAGAGCAGTTTCCCTGTCAGGACTGAATAAACATGCTCCACAGCATGTTTCTCATGGAGATTGTGCGTTCAGCATGATGTGTATAGATGCAGCATTTAGAAAGTACAACAAAGGGTGCTTTATTTTGTTTTTTTCTCTCTACCGTGTCCCCTGTCCCCTATGGCTTGTGGTAAACAGCAAGTTGTTTGTTGTTGTTTTTTTAAGCAAATCCTTCTTCATTATAGTCTTAACTCCAGATTTGAGGAGTGCAAGACAAAGATGTAGAGCTTCTCCAGAGAGACAAAGTGCCTCCTGGCTGCTTTTCATTCCCTTTGCCCAGCCTGTCAGCTTCCATGAACCACCATGTTTTGGCAGCTTATCAGTAGAGCCTATCGAGGTGAACAGAGCCTCTTAGATGCTCGAAGCTGCAGATATGGTTTCCAAATCTAGTCTGTTTTTAAATTCTCAAAACTCTGCTATGCTTCGTGGTTTCTGCGACATTGTTTGTTTATTAATGTTCGGCAACAATCCTCTGAATACTCAGATTTATACACAGCTCACTGTGCGGTCACACCAAACCTTTGGAACCCCTTTTTCTTTGCCTGAGTCCTGTTTCTGGAGCACAAACCAATATTAGACCCGGGAACAGACTGGCAAGCTTAGGACTGCTGGTCCTGTTATGATTTATCTGAACTTGGGAGCAATTGCATAGCAGGCCACCATACTGAAAGCAGGAATAGGTGAAATGATATAAGAGCAGGAAGGAGACTGATTCAACAACAAAAATAGTATAACAATTTCTCTAAAGGGTGTGTTGGGTAGTGAAGGGGTTAAGGCTCATAACTAGATTTAGACCCCAAAGTAGCAACAGACAATCCAGAAAACAGACTTTCTTCTGTTTGTTTTTTCTTCCTCTTCATAATAAGCACAGTAATAGAGTGGCACTGCTCCAGAACAAACCATATAGTAATCTGAGTGGGGCGAAGTCCTCCCACCAGAGACTGCCCCCACCCCCCTTCCAAAGATCACTGCATGGAATCAATTATTAAATGTATAGATTTGTTCTCAGGTAATTAAATGCATTATTAAATGCAATCGGCCACACAAAATCAGATCTGATCAAAAACCATTTCTGTTTCTGGTGTGAGTTTGCTCATACCAATGCCTTGACTGGTCCCTTAGATTACAACCAGACGGACTATTTCCACATCAGCTGCATTCCAAATAGGGATGAGAATCGCAAACCGGCTCCTGTTCAGAACCGGTTCCGTTTTTTACGCAAGTTATGCACACGGCTTTCAGCAAGCCAGTACGACATGACCAGGCGTAAGTCTAGAAAAGCAAAACAAAAAAAATGGCGTCCCATGAGGTAAACCGATTGAAAGTTTGGCTTCATTTTAATAGGGTGACCAAACATCCTCTTTTTCCCAGACATGTCCTACTCTTCAAACCTAAAAAAATGTGCGGGGGGAATTTCAAAATCGTCCGGGATTTTGGTCGACTAGAGTGCAGCAGGGAGCCGGGGCGGGACGGAGCGACCGAACCTGACCCGGTAACGGTAGCCTGGTCAACAGCGGCCCCGTGCTTCCCCTCGCCCAGCCCCCGTGCTTCCCCTCGCCCAGCCCCCCTCCTCCGGCTGAGGACCGGCGGCTCATGGCTCTCTGCTGAAGTCCTGTCCAGTCAGCAGCCCAGCAGTCGACAAAAAAAAAAGACATTTTAAGGAAGAGAAAGATGGCAACAAGGTGCTTTGCAATCATTGCAAAGTGGCAATTACACCTGCAGGAGGAAATACATCCAACATGCAGAAACACCTGCGCACAAAACATGGCATACATCTTAACGAATGCCATCTTTTGATGCTTCCGGATCAGAAGCTAAAGTTACGACCAGCATGGAAGGAAACTCTGGTGGTAAGCAGCTAGTTTTATATCACTGGCTGTGCTTAATGTGCTTCCTAGTAAATCATATGCCATTTCTGGATATAAACCTACTTCCTACCTTTCTTTGGGGATATTAAGGGAGTGTGCCTGTCTCGTTAATCCAGCTCTTCATTGCTAGCATTAGAACTACTGGCGGCTGGAATTATTACATGATTCTAGCTATTGCAATGGATGGAATGAAACATGCTACAAAGTTGCTTCGCAGTTCAGGGAGCGAGAGAGAAAGGTGACGCTCGTTTATTATTCAGGGGGAGATGAGTTTATTTCCTGAAATGGTACAGTAATGCTTTTTCATTGAACGGATGCCTTCTCCATTAGATTTAGATCACTGTGACGAGAATCAATAAGAGAACCGATAAGGAATCGAATAGTTTCACAGAATCGATAAGGGAATCAGAATCATAAAAATCAATCCCCAACCCTAATTCCAAATGTAACAGGACAATCTGGATTAAGGCATATTTAGGGTACCGTCATATATCCACTGCATGCTAGAAATCTATGACAGAGGTTTTGGGCACTTACTTCATATTTATCCCTTATTTTTAGCATCATATATACAAAGACCTGGAGAAATTTAAGGAAAATTTGTATTTGACTTGCCATTAAATGATTGCTGTATATTCCTAAGGATATTTTCTATCATGTCATAAATTCTGTTTATCGCTTGAACCCAGCTAACATTAGCATAGCATTATTTCAATGTCAGAACTATTAAATTTTTTTATGTGTGTTTTGGCAACTCTACCGGTAAAAATCTAGATAATCAAGTAAAAAAGAACCAGGGCTCATTTATATTCAAGTAAAATGTTGAAAAAGATTTTTTTTAAAGCATCTAACCACCATCCAGTTGGGATTTCCAGCTTTGATTTAACACTTTGTATCTGTAGGAAGGTACTATTTTGATTTAGTGGCCTAAATGCAAATGTATGCCAGACTTTTAAAGCTTGAGGTAAAGTGCACGAACAACCTAGAGTAACTAGTCCTCAATAGAGTGGTCCTGACACGCTTTGCTGCATGTCCTCCCCTTCTTTCTCTTCCCAAATCATATCCATGTCTGCTACAAATACCACTAATAGTAGCAAAGACATAAAAAAAAACAAAAAAGTGCATCTTTTACCGTCACTTTATAATTATATGATACTTTATTTGTTTGTCACATAAAAGGTGAAGGTGTGTGGTTTTTTTACCTTTGTTATGAGCAGAGGCTCCCGATGCTCGAGCCCTCCTCTGAGCGTAAACCCCCACGGTGCACCACCCGACAGAAACACATGCACCGTCCTCCAGCTCTCCCCCTCCCTCATCCTATGATGCAGATCTCCAGATTTCGGCACCACATGCCAAAACCTCTCGGCTTCTGGATAGTGAGTGGCTCCCTCAGCATCCATTACACTGTTTACAAAAGTAAAGAACCGAGAACATCAAAACACGTCAGAATCAGATAAACAGTTCTCCTACAAATGCTACAACTGGTTTAAAAAGGTTTGTTTTCCAACCCACTTTCTAGTGTTTGTTTATGGTGTGCTCTTTCAGCTTTAGTGCTGCGTTGATTAAAACCAGCTATAAAATTTCAAGAGTTAAACTTAACAATCCCAATTTCAATTATAAATACAAAAAAATTTACAAACTTTTATGTTGTATGTGAAAGGTTTTTTGTGTTTTTTTTTAATATTCTGATGATTAACTTTGTCTTCTCTTCTATTATTGCCCAATTTTGATTTATTTTTTTTTGGTATTGCCAACACCATAAATGAATAAAAGCTAGGTTATAATTCAAGTATGTATTTTGTATAAAAAACTGAAGTTTTGAAATTATACTACAATCATGTTATTACGTACTAGTACTCCATCATTCCTTTATAAATCCACCTTCCAGTTAAATGACACCGTTAGAGCGCATTAAACTATACATATGGAACAATTAAACATCTGACAAATACACACTATGAGTTGGTAATGATTGCTTCCATAACGTAACCTTAAACCTCTTTCAGTGACGGATAATGGAGAATGATGTAATGATTGCGGTAAACAGTAGGTTTTATGTTAAACCGGCTGTTAAAAAACAAA